TAGGGAGGCCCTACCAGTAGCTATGCTACCGCCAGCATAGCTCTTGGGGTCACTGAGGTACTCAACCCCCACCACCACAACAAGGTGCAGGTACCATTAAGTGGGGGAATTCTGCCTTGGTCAAGCATTTGGCATTTCAGAGATATTGGAAATTATACTTTTAAACATTTATTCTCTGTAACTTTTTACACAGCATTTCTGAACCTGTGTTTGTTGGACTTTTTTGAGTCGTACTGACATTCTGAAGCACTTATATCAAATTCCCTGTATTAACTCAGTAATGTTTCAGTTCTTCTAATATGTAAAAGGTACTGTCTTACACATAATTTATCCCTATTGTTAAAAGTCGGATGATAATTGATCTGCAATCTGTGGACCTCACATTTCATGTCACCATGATATAGCACAATCACTAAGTAATTCACACATTTACATTGTTGAGTTCAATGTGCTTGCTATTATCTGGCTCAAAGCCATTGCCTAGCATACTAATTGTCACAGTTGCCATACTGACAGACGTTTTCCTTTATCCCTTTCACATATTTATCTCCTTTGTTTCTTTCCACCATAGTGCTTTTCCTTTTCGTTTACATCTCAGTCTGTTTGGCCTCTTCATACTTTGTCATTAGCCCTCTGTACAGTACGCACATCACATCACAGTGTAAAAAATAATTTATCTGTATGAAGTGTGGTTTTAGTTCATAAAACAAATGTTTGGCGTTGTTTCTGCAGGCTAGCTTCTGTACAAGAGCAGCGTCTTCCTCCCTCAGCAACACCAGACTCACGCCTGTCTCCCACAATGGGACTCGGAGGGGACTCTGACACACCCATCACTCCCCCCGCTCATGGCAAGGTAAGTCTCTGCTTGTACTCCTGCTTGCCCTTCTCTTCTCTGTAACGCTGGATGCTTTGCCTTGGGTGTGGTTTGTTAGTTCCCGTGTCTCATTCATGGCTGATGGCACAACTAGACCTCAAGTTGACATCTTCAGATTGTTTGTGCTCATTTAAACTTATATAACTGAATGTCTTGCAGGAAGAAAAATTATTTTGATAACTCTTGTTAAAGAATCTTTAATATATACGAATAACATTGTACTGAAACTCGTTGCATTTCATGTGAGCTCAGTCCTTAGAGAAAATTAAAAGTCTTTTAGTGCGGGAGATAGCCAACTAACATAGTTCATGCTTTTGCATTACTTTACTTTCAGATTTAAGTGAACAAAATTTTGTTAAGATGACTACAGTAATATTTAGTTCAATGTTACTTAAAGTATCTTAAGAATATTAAGAACCATTACATTGAAGATGTCTTCTGGGTTGTTGCGCTGTGTAGTCTGGTCAATGTTTACCAACATTTCAGAGGTCATACTGCCTCCATCATCAGGGCGATGAATATAAAATGTTGGTAAATATCGACCAGACTACACAGCGTAACAATCCAGAAGACAGAAATCTTCATACTCACCGCTGTGAAAACCTCAAATGTTACACAACCATTACAATAATGAAGGATATTTTCTTTAACAATTTCTATATAATGCAATTACTAACAGTTCAGATTTTATTTGTAAACTGTGTAAGAATAGAAATTAGAACAATAGTTGATGTGTAAACTTTGGGTCTCTTCGTGCAATTTCAAATGAGTGTTTATAAATTAAAGTTCTTTGTAATGAATCTTACTCCTCTATCCCTGTCTTCACTTTCTTTCTTTCTTTCTGTTCTGTTTTTGTTATTGTAACTTGATTTTTGGTAAGGTCTTGACATGGCCAGCACTTGTCTGAATCACTGCACTGAGTGGTTGTGGTTCAAAAACAAATATAACTCATATGTTACAATTATATTATTTCTGTTGTCTGCAATGCACACGTTACCGAGTGCATTTCCAATGCGTGACCTCACCTACTTCCCCCTTTTTTCTTCAGAAATTCTTCCATGTCTAATATAACTGACATTCCACATTCTCCATGATTATTTTCTTTTCCTTTGTGTACTGTTTACAGTGAAAGTTCTCAACAGTCTTTCACCATGGTCTGAAAATGAGATGAGTTGCCATTTTAATTGGCATGTAGAACTTTTAGAAGGAGTAAAATATCATAATAACATTATTATTAGAGGTATCACTGCAAGGAATTGCATGACTCTGTGTGCGCAGAAGTTGAAAATGTGTTGTGCTCGTAAGTCAGATGCTACAGCTGTGCATGAAACTGAAGGCCATATCCAAACATGTAGTAGTTCACCTTTTCTGTAACATCTCTGGTTTAGAAGGAATATAGAAGTGACATCGGTGGTTTATGCATAATTTGTCAGTCATCATCATCTAGCTGTCAGGGATTTTGGGCCTTGTGACCCGTTCTGGCCTCAGTCACCCAGGAATCTTTTTAAACGGCATCCTTTGTTTCTTTTTCCTATTGGTCTATGTTTCAAAATTTGATGTGGCAATCTGTCCTTGTCCATTCTTCGTACATGTTAGATCCAGTTACACTTTGTCAGTTGAGTGTTTAAATGAATATAGTTCATGCAGGAAAAAAGTTCTAATGATTATACCTAAAAAATATATTATGGAAGTACATGCGGCATAATTCAGGTGTTTTAAAATTACGTCTGCAACTCAGGTTAGAAAAGTTTATATTAAGTGTCTTTTGCCTTTGTTTTGCAAGGGCTAGGAATATAGGAGATGCTAACTTTTGTGTTGATGTTAGTTCATAAACGTTAAATTTACTGGGATATTTGAGAACACCGTAAGCTGTGTGTTAAAGAAATGTTAGGAGAAGCTTATAAGCAGTGTCAAAGTCTGAGGCTCCTTGACTTTTTACCAATTTAGAAATACGTGAAAATTTAATTCTTCATAATGTGCTCAATTCTCCTAGAAATCTGTGTTTCTGTTCAGATGGCTCTGTTATTTATACAGACTGTTTTCTTAACTTCCCAAGCATGTGCTGATATATAGGACCAGTTTTGAGTGGGTAAATATATAATGCGTAGCAAAATTTTTACCGCTAAAATTAAATTAACACATTTACTGCTAGATGCATTGAATTACATTTTTGTTATCTCGTGCCACCAGTGATAAACACGTCTACTGACATTTTGGTGCTGATGTACAGTTTATTACGCGTATGCCATAGAATTGTTACACAAATGCAGTCACACTTTCTCAGATTGTAAAGGAAACTTTGTTGTATTCGAGTCGTGTATTTACAAGTGATATCCTTTTCCTGTTCTTTGTAAACAGTGATTGACTCTTATGTATAAAGATGATTGGTGCAAAGTATAAAGATGAGATTTTTGCAGATGATGATTCTGGTGATGAATTAGTTTGGTGAACGTGACAGCGAATCAGAGGATGTTAGAAATAATGGTACAAGGGACTCAATTCCAATATATATATTTCTGGAATTAGCTCAGATTATTGCTAACCTGAAAATTCTTTGTAATTACTTCAAACAGTTCTAAGATATTCAAGGTTTATTTGTGCCCGTGAGAAAACACATCACTACATTGAAAAATGTCTCGCACAGGGCATTAAAACACCACTGAAAATCATGGCAATGGATATGTTAAAACTAATTGAAATAATATATTTCAAACATAGAAGAAAAATGAAGCATATGTAATGTATTAATGCAGAAATAACAGAAAGTTTCTGCTAAATGTAAGGAGAATAATACTATATTTTACATATGATTCCTTACCAAGGTTCATGTGAGGTTTGAGGTTAAAATGATGAGAAGTGTGGGATCTAGCACCAAGTACCTTTGTAGATATTGATTGACGTTTCAGAAGCCCTGATAATGGGGGACAGTGAACATCTCTAAAACATTTTTTAGTATGTACCAGACTACTTGTCTTCATTAGGTTCATTATGTTTTAATTTGGAAGGAAAGGTATGCTTTTACGGAGCACCGTTGCAAGATTGCCTATTGGATAGAAGCAATAAGTTCATATACAGAGGAAGGCAGTAATAGGGGTTCCTTGAAGAATTAAGTGGGTGAATATATGTTGTGTGTCGCTGATTCATCCAAGAAAATCTGCTGTTCGTTAGGCTGTAAAAGTACAACACAAGAATTCACTTGGCATATAAAAATTTCTTACAGTATTGCAGGAATTATGTAAACACTGCAACATATTATGAATGTATACTTTTTGTTCTTATATAGTAGAATATTTTATTTAAATTCACCAAATATGGGCACAGTTCTCTTGACCTTTGTGAAAGACTAATTGAGTTCTGCAAAGAATATTTATGTGAATGTGTGTGTGTGAGAATGTATTTGTGTCTGTGTGCGTGTTTTGTGCACGCTCATGGGTTTTATGGTGGTGAAACTAGATCTTCAGTCATTCCAAAATCATGCAGAGATGTACTGATAAAGAAAGAAGGAACGTGTCTTTCTAATTGCCATTGTACATGACAGACTGCTTTATGTTTATTGCTATTTTTGCAGTCCAACAATACATATTTCATCTGTTCCTAACATTTTGTTGTTATTGTCACAGATTAAAGTGTTTTTGACCTTTTGTGTTTCTGTGAGAGAGATTCTTGAATTTCTCCATCATTTTAATGCATCCCGTTATTCTTAATTTTAGTCAGAATTTTATGTGGAACAAGGGAGTTCCTGTTATGGATCATGAACCCTGGAAACTGTTTTGAGACATCAAAGGATTAGATGATGATAATTTGTGATAAAAATTATAAAAGGGATATTAAAAAAATTAAATTTGTGGCATAACAGCTCCAGAGAGCCAAAGCCGATTAGCGTGACTGCCGGCCTCACGTTCACATGCCTAAGCAGAGGTGAACGATCATCCAACCAGATATAGGGTGACATATGGTCAGCACGACGAACCCCCAGCCATTGCTAGTTTTCATGACCGGATTACGCTACTCATTGTAGCTTCCCAATTTCCTCACGATGCTGGGTTGGCACCGATCCCATACACTGGTCGAAAGCTCATGAGAAAATTTCTTTTCCCGAGACTCGAACCAGCGCGCATTCCGTATCGCCAGTTCGAAGCATGATGCCTCAGACCGCGCGGGACATAAAAGGGACATACACATGGAAAAATTAAAAGGGGGACATCAATGATTTTCATAATAAATACTTTTGATGGGGCTGAAAGTTTTATTAATATAAATATAATTGTGTTTTTGTTCGCAACCACAAAAAAGGTGTTGGATTCTCGTTTTTAACATATTCCACGCAGAGTGTAGCGCATCTAGAATCAAAACTGTAATCTTACTGGATGACCAGTATAATAAATTTTCGTCTTTATTTTATTTTATACTCTTGCAATTTATAAATGTGCTAGATGGATATTACAGAATATAGGAATACATATATTTTATGTTAAATAAGTAATTAAGTAACTGTTATGAAATATCCAGAGTGACTTATTTCAATATAACTTGTGTAAGATGCAGATTGACTTAATTATAATCTTATCTTTTGTTTATCTGTTAAATATTCACCGAATTTATCTATTTCTTATACATTGTCAGAAATTATATTAAAATTAGGGTTATGGTGAAATGTTTTTGATACATTTTAAAAACAGGTAAAATATAGTATAAAGTGAAGCTTTTGCGGCGACTGAAGTTAATGAAAGACTCTCGGGATACAAGCAGTGTTAGGTCCCTGAATGGTGAATAAGCCATATCATCTGCCAACGTTTCGAGAACAATCTCTGCTCTCATCCTCAGGGCTGCTGCGTAGCAAATCTGATCCATTGTAATGCTCTTGTTGATGGGAACTGGCAGTGGACAGCCAAGGTTTGAAGGTCCCAGGTGTGAACCATGTTCCATGTGAGTGCGGAAAGGTTTGCATGGGGCAGACAGGAAGATCATTTGAGACCAGG